CTGCAGCTTACCCTTCCCATGGCTCTCGGGTCAGAAAAAGTTCTCTAATCTGGAACTGCTGAAGCATTTCCTCTTTCACAGACAGTTTTTGCCTGGCTCTGATTGTGATTGAAGGAAATGAGGCAGCAGAAAAGGATGACAAAGGCTTTTTCAAAGAGCTTTCATGCATCCTCTTGTTTCTTCACCAAACTTCCAACACATTCTGACTGAAGTTATGAGGGTTGCTTCCCTTGCTGAGGAAAGCTTTAATCTGCTGTTGACTTTTCATTTTTAAGTGTTTCATGAAAGAAAGTAGATGGCATGACGGACAAGACAAAACACATCCAACATATTTGGGTTAAACCTAATTAACTTTTGGTTAAATTGAAGCTTGTCTAATAAGTGTCTGTACACGAGCTTGTTTTCAGACCCACACTTTCCACACCCTTGATAATTGTCACATCTTTGCACCTACCGTAGTCACAGGTGCCACAGTCGTCTTGGGGGGGGGGCGATGGGTTAGTATGACAGTAAATGTTGGACGATGCAAGATTGCATTGGTTTGGGTGTGGTAAATGTTACTTAACACCATATTCACTGGGTTGTGCTTTGCTGATTAACTTCTGGTTAGACATCAGGCTGATAAATGGATTAATCTAGAGTAATTACATTTAGCTCTTGGGCAATTTTCCTGCTGGCATGGAGCTAATTAAAGAAGTACAAACTGTTTCACCCTACATCTTCCAGGTGACATATCCACATCTCAGTGCCGCTCTTTATAATTAGGGTTATATTGTGCTTTCTTGGTGTGTTTGATGTAGTGCAACACAGACCTAAAAGAGACATTTTATGGAAGAAAGAAACTTAAAGAACGGGAGCATAAAACACCCAGGCATAAGTGTTTTGTTAATAAGTGTCCTTGTCAGTAAAAGTTTAATATAGAGCCAGGTGCGGATCTAGAAAAATATTTATGGGGTGGCAAGAGGGGGGCAGGAATTTTTTAGGGGTGGCAACATATGGCATTTGTTTACACTGAATTTAATCACTGTTATCACAGTTTGGTGAGAATAGTATGTACAGTACTAGTGTTTCATGTGAAACAGTTCATATTAATAATGCATCGTACAATGTGATCTCACTTAATAGGAGATAGAAGAATGATAACACTACTTCTAGAGGGGCCTTATGACAGGAAAGGTATTAAGGTAACCACAGGTGCTGAGTCACAGATGTGTGAGATTGACTGTCAGAGAGGCAGCATTTGCACAAGAAGAAACGATAGAAAGAAAAAGTTACCTATCAGAGATCTATGGACTGAGCTGTACTAAAGTGAGCATTACTACACAGTAGAAATAAATGGGTCAAGGCACCCGAAGAAGGTACTGGACATCTATGTAATGTTTACTCTGAACACAGATTTACCCCATTTTTTCCTCAGTAACTTGACATACAGCATTTAAGGCAACATGAAAGGGACATTTCATGCATGTAAATATGCTGCAGATAGAGCTGTATATGGAGGACCAACTCCGCCATATTTAAAAATAAATACAGAAATAAATAAATGCTCAATAAATAAATAAGCATACAATTAATTGCCACCAAAAATACAATCAACAAATAAATGTAATTAGAAAGTATATTATAATGGCAGGCAGAAATGTTAAAAGGGCAGGCAGAAAGAAATAGCGGCGAAGAAATAACTAGGGTAAAAAAATACAAAGGAAGAATAAAACAGACAAAAATATGATAACATGCACATAAATACTTAAAAATATAAGTAATTAAAAAATGAAGTTGAAGATAATAAATGGCAAAAAAATAAATAAGGTAAATATTAAAAAGGCAAAGAAATAAAGAAGCCAAGTAAAAGAGTTATATACCTTTATGACTAGCTGTATAATTTAATTTCTACTTACATTTATTTGTTGTTTGTATTTTTGGTGGCAATTAATTGTATGCTTATTTATTTATTAAGCATTTATTTATTTCTGTATTTATTTTTAAATATGGCAGAGTTGGTCCTCCATACTGCTGTATCAACAAATCAACAAAAAGGCGGGTTCTGTATGTTACATCAAAATCTCCACAAATCTGAAAAGAAGCAACATAAAAATACATTTTGCTTGTGAGTAGGTTCATACGGGTAATTTCTGGATAGTTTCTTATTATATATACAAAAAAAGAAACAACAACACTGCTTCATATTAAGCAGGATTTACACCAGTATCACATTTTTAACTTTTAACACTTTTGGTTTTATTAAAGGAAATATCAGATTTTCTCAGGTGCCAAAACAAAATGTAACAGCTCTGTAAAGGCTCACCAGAGAGCAGAACATAAAGTTGACATGACTATAACAGCTGAATGCAGCGATTTCCATGTTGCTCAGCAAAACGCTTCACAACTTTATTTAGATCCAATGCCTTTGTGCGTTTTGATTTGAGTACAACCAAACTTGATAGTCTCTTTTCTGTCATAGTTGACCGCAAATATGTCTTTCTGAGCCTGAAACGTCAGGCCTAACTAACATCATAGATAGAGAAATAACGTTCTGCAACCTGATTTTTATCATCTCAAAATCAGCATTGCAGCTATGCTAGCAACATTGTGCTTTCATTATGATTTCATTTCTCGATAGATAGTTAATCAATTTTTACCTGTTTCATCCCGTTTCTCCTCTCCCCATCACCCCTGGCTCCCTCGCCTTGCCCCATTCGGTTTTCAAAACAATCAGTCTCATTCGCTCTTGCGTCATCTCGTGCTGCAGTCCGGCATTGGAAATTAGCGGTCGTAATTCTCAAATGATCCATAATTTATAAGCCTCGCCACCCCTACCGCCAACTGGGGTGGCAGCTGGGGTGGCAAGGCTGTCATTTAGGGTGGCATTTGCCACCCTATGCCACCCCAGTAAATCCGCCTATGCATAGAGCTAGTCCTAATCCAGTATTGCATTTAAATTCTCCTGTCTTGTGTTTTTCAAGAATGGAATAAAGGTAAAGCTATCACTACCTAATGCTGGCTTGGTATAGTGTTCATATACACAATAAGCCCAGCATAAAAGAACACAATTGTTGAAGAAATTGGTTTATTAGAATAATATTGCTAATAAGTGGTGACTTTGTAGCAAATCTGTGACCAGCAGTTTTCTGATGTCATATTTTCAACGCAGCTTGTTACTGTTGAAACTGCATCCTAGCAGGTACTACAAATAACAGTTCCATGTTAAAAAGTACTAATTGATAAGTTTAAAAAGTGAGTCGAGTCATAAAATGCAAAGAGATGTTGCTACAGGATAATGGCCATGGAAATTTTAGATGCAGAGTGCCTACCTTAAAGCAATCTCCTCCAAAGCTGGGCTCATAATGGCACATAATACATTTACTTCAACAGAAGTTACGCAGAGCAGAGAGATGGTGCTTTTTGAGAGCTTCTTACTCAATTTTGACATAATGCTATATGATTAAGTATTGTGAGCTCAGGATCCACTATAGTGCCTGGTATTGTGGCAACCTTTTTCTCGCGATGATGGAAATGCTTGCTAGATTGTGGAGAGAAAAGGAGAAAGGCCCAAGGAGCATGGTTTATATCATTCCAGTATCTAGGTTGAAGGACAGTAAGGATGTAGACACTCAGTAAACTGTTTCAGAGAATGATATACAATTAATTTGCTTTTCTTGATGTTCTGTTGGTAGAGCCTTCACTTTCAGTACCAATCAGTCTTTCTTTATCCTGCAAAGTTGGAGACCCTCAATGCTGCGTGTTATAGTCAAAATACTAGAAAAATCGAACAGGGTGCATTGCTCTGCATTTTGTACCTTGTGTTATTGCATGGTGGAAAAACGATCACTCTATTCTCTTTAGCTCACACTCCATGGCTAAGTCGATAAGGGCTTTGTGGTTCTGCCATTGTGAGTCAGATTCATTATAGGCCTTGGGTCGGGCCCACCTTCCTCAGAGCAGTTTTGGTAATAACAGGAAGTACGGCCACTGCTGCTCATGGTAATTAGCAGCTGTTCAGAACGCTAGACAGCCTGATTATAGCAGTGGCAGCGGACAAACACATGAACCGCTGAACTGCAAATCTCATGTCACAAAGCTGCGTGAGCAGAATAAAAGCTTCAAGAAACGCGCATTAAGATGCCTCAGGGAAATTTTTATCATCATGTGCACATTCATGATGCGCCATTTGTGTTTACACCAGCAAGTGTTGTGTTGCCCTAGCAGCTGCAGAGCAGGCTCCATCACGTCTGAAGAATGAGGTAAAGTTTTTATAACACAAGTCCCTTAAGCTTACTGGTGTGCTGATGCTGTTCTTACACACTGAGTGGGTTACATGCAGCTGGTATCTCCTCCCAGTACTTAGCAGAACCACAAACAGTCAAAGGGTGTAATAAAGCTGCACTTTTTATGTCTTTTTTTTTTTTTTTTCATTATTATGAAAAGCCTTGTAAGGACAACATGGAGAACAACTCCTGTGACAACATGCTGGCTTTCACAGCAGAACCAAATTGGTTCTGCTCTACTTAGGCATTTTAGGGCCGTGTTTTTTACCATTACAGCTTTACAACACTGTTTTCTTTTGTGTTTGCATTTAAAGTATAGTTTAATGAACACCCCAGTTATTTTTTTGTAAGGTTTTTTTTTTTTTTATGGATGTAACATAAAAGGAATAGATTAAGAAGACTTGGTAACTTTTGGTCCAGACATGCACCGCCTGGCTGGGCTATCGACGCGCTCTGCATTGTAATTGTGGTATTCAGTAGATGATTGCTCATCTAAACCTTTTTCCTTTTCACTGTTCTTGAACACATTGATGGAAGCTCATCACCGTCTCAGTTGTCATTGGAAACGGGGCCTCTGAAACAAGGTTGTAATTTAATTCAGGCCTTAGTGACAGAGACATGGTGCTTTTCAAAACTGTGCATGTTTTGTATCAAACTGCCAGGCATGTTGATGTCAAGATGGGTTTGTTGCAACACCCAGGCTTTATCATCACTGTTGGTTCTGTTTCCCTACAGGAGCATTTGGAACCAGTGGGATGTTAGCTGTGGCTGAGACAGCAGGAGTGCCTGAAGGAGCATGGTGAAACACCAACCCCTCCAAGTCTATGAGCGCCAGCTGTGCTTGTCATGCATCACTGGGATCTATGGGTGCAGGTGGAAACGTTATCAGAGGTCACATGATGACACCACCAAGGTTTGTTTATTTACTTCAAAGTATGCCACCTTTAACTTGGAAGAATAAGCCACCTCTTCTAGCACTGCTTTTTTTGGGGGGGGGGGTTTGTAGATGGTTTGTAGAGAGCATTTTCTTTATTGCCATGTTCTGGAATCTAAGTATTTATGCTAGACTGACATTACAATAAACATAGCATGGAAAAACTGTACTTGATTGTCACCATGTGCATAAAACACTCAATGCATCAGTGGTTCTAGATACTGACCGGTTCTGATGTAAGCTGGTGCAAGGAAAATGTTTTCCCCTGTTTAATGAACCCACAGGTGATATAAGATGGCATATTATGTTTTTATATTTTACAAACATATTGCCTTATTCCCACGTGCCAAGAACATGTCAAATGTTTTTCTTTATTTGTAAAACAAAGGATGTGAAACAATTTTGGGGCAGCATCCTCAGAGGGACACGAACCCTGAAGACCACAAAAAACAACGCAGGCAGGACTCGACCTGGGATAGCCTAGCTTCAGCAGCCGTCCCCGTCCTCACCTCAGTGTATATTTGGTCATCTACCAAACGTGACACCATGGGAGATAAGTCTATGAAGCTAATGTAGCCTGAACCTTTGCCTTTTAAACCTTTTTCCTGAAATAAATACAAATATCATCAAAGAGAAACTCCAATCTTACAAGCTACAAATAATGCCATGCACTTTATTTACGATTAGTCTACAAAATCCAAGGGGAGGGCCTCATCCACCATATGACTGAAGTTAAGGTAAAGCCTATGAATAATAATTGTTTGGATGAAAATGAGGGGTCTTGATTGATATTTTTTTTTTTTTTTTTTTTTTTTTTTTTTTTTATGCGACACGTCGTAAATCAGAGTATGTTGTGAGCATTTTTTGTTTGTAATATTTAAAAATAACCTAAGAAAAATGGTGTACCTTTTTAAAAGCAAACTTATAATATTTAAAAACGTATGTTTGTGTAGAAGGTGTTTTGCACGAACAATCAGGTTTATGAAAGTTAAAGTGCTAATCCACGTTAATAAGGCACATTATGCTTCTTGCTCAGATCTTCTTTCAATCCTTTAATTATTCATATCCTAATATCGTTCTCAATAGATTTAAATAAAATTATCTCATCTTGAAACTTAAATTAAATAAATTAGGGGAAAAATTTCTTCCCCAGCTGCTTTTTGTATCCTGGAACCAGTTTTCTTCCAGGGTTTCTCTCCATATAGCTCCCTCTCTTTTAGTCGGCTACGACCAGCTTCCCCGTCTCTGCTAAAGACGAGCATTCCCACAGGATCATTTGTCCAACACCATGTTTCACAATGAAAATAAAGTATCCTGGGTTGTGTTGGTCTGTTTTTTTGGACTTTTTTGACCAGGCCACCTTCTTCCTACATGACTTTTAACCGAACACAGTGGGTTCTTATGTTTTTTTTGTTTTTTTTTGTATGTATCACATACAGAAAGGCTGACAGAAGCTCCTAGTATCTAGGTATGTGTAATTTAGCTTCTCAAAGAACAAGAAAACAGTTGCCTCTTTTGCAGACTTTGAAATTTGTAACATATTTACTCTACCAAGTCACTATTTCTGAAATATAACCAACCTTACTGTATCATGCATTCATCTTATAGTATTATGTTTACCTATGGTATACTTATGTTCTTTGTGTGAGAAGTACATTGTTTGAAGGATTGCTTGCATTGTTGCTGTAATGGCGAGTGTCTGGAGAATGGTAGGAACGAGGTGAAGTTGTAGCTGCTTTCCAATGATTATCTCTGAAGATAATTAGGAGCTGTGCACACCCTCAGTTGTGCGCATTTTCTCCCATAGAGCTGGAAATGAATGAGCCCTGATTATCTTGTTGTGTCAGGAGGTTTTTTCACAATAGTTAGACAGCTGGCTTGTATGAGAAAGAAGGCTGTTAAGTGATATAGTTGTTTGTTTTTATTATGGCTTCTATTGAATGTTGTGTTTTACTGTGTTGACAAATCTTTGGGACTTTGCCATTAAGATTTAATGTGTTACGTCAATGTATATCTGTAGGTTTTTTTTTTTTTTGTTTGTTTGTTACAAACTAGCCGGAGACGACTTGCTAGTCAAAATATTTTGCTATGATTTTTACATGTTAAAAATGTAAAGCAAGCTTAACTCTATAGATTATATTAAGGATTGCTTATGAAATCTGCCCGAGCTCTTGTTCACCAATGCCTCTCTAGCACGATGCACCCCCAGTCTCCTCGTGTGCTACCTGCTACATTGGTAGGTTTCAGGCTCTGGTCCCAAACACTCCCATACTGGCTTGGTGCTTTAACTTGTCATAGTAAGGATTTTAGATTTCGCATCAACACCACTTCTTGGTAGTGTGTAATTTCTTGCCTGCTAGTATGTCCGGCTCCATTCCGTTAGGTTTCTTTGCTCACAAACAGAAAGAGTTTGCATGATGTGTATGCATCTGTATCGATTTAAAAACTCCACCCTGTTATAAAGAGAAATGAGGAATAGCAGCGGAAAACCTTTGATAAACAACTTTTCTGCCATGTTGGCTTTAGTTTTTCTCAGCTGCCAATCTTTTGTCTCCTAGAAAACCACATTCCACCCATCCTCAGTCTGTCAGTTCACTGGCTGCCTCCTTAGCATTCAACCATGCAGCCTGATTTCCATTTACAGCCATCTGTCACCTTCTGCCTCCAAAGGTTGTCCTTATATTCATTCAAAATTCATAAAAAAATGGGTTAGAGAATCATGAGGCAAAAACCAGAATGCATTTTCTGTAACAAAACGTAAGCCTAACAATGTAGCTACACCTCTTCTTAGCTTCACGTGTATTGTGTTCCACCTAAGCGCTAGTTTGGGTCAAATATATCCTCCCCGTTAGTGAACACACGCTACATTTCTTCTTTTAGAAACTGGCTTACCCGTTCACTGTGTTTGTGTGTTCTGAAACTTGAGTCAATTGATTTGGCCTGACTTTTCCCTTAAAGGAGAAGTTCGGTTTTTTACACTTTAAGCCCATTTTCTGTAGTGTCCAGGATGAAATCGAATGAAGGACACCAACATTTTGACAATTGCTCCTGTCTCTGCTTTTTGGCTCATTTAGAATCACCCCCTGGCTGCTTTAGAATGGCTAGCATAGAGCATGTCCGATAATGTCCTTAAAACAACCTTAAACGTTCTTTTTTTAAAACATGCTACTCACCGTGTCGTCAGCGCTGTTCAATGACGTTGCAAAAAAAGTTTCGTGAAGAAAAAACGTTCCTGTAGTGTTTTATTTAGCATTTTGTAAATCCCATTGAGTTCTGTAGGAATAGTCAATATTCCGCTGCCACCGGAAACGGAAATGGGGCCTGTTTACACAGTTGTAGTCTTTTCGCTTCACTCTGTGTACTCCGACGTCGAGGTGCTAACGTCTCTGTTAAACACTTTAAAAAACTCTGAAAATGGAATACGAAAGGTGGATTCTTGATTCTCGACGTCGGAGTACACAGAGTGAAGCGAAAAGACTACAACTGTGTAAACAGGCCCCATTTCCGTTTCCGGTGGCAGCGGAATATTGACTATTCCTACAGAACTCAATGGGATTTACAAAATGCTAAATAAAACACTACAGGAACGTTTTTTCTTCACGAAACTTTTTTTGGAACGTCATTGAACAGCGCTGACGACACGGTGAGTAGCATATTTTAAAAAAAGAACGTTTAAGGTTGTTTTAAGGACATTATCGGACATGCTCTATGCTAGCCATTCTAAAGCAGCCAGGGGTTGATTCTAAATGAGCCAAAAAGCAGAGACAGGAGCAATTGTCAAAATTTTGGTGTCCTTCATTCGATTTCATCCTGGACACTACAGAAAATGGGCTTAAAGTGTAAAAAACCGAGCTTCTCCTTTAAGAAACACACACAGGTTATGTCAGTGCAACAACTCTACGCATGGAAGAGGTGTATGTGGGGGTGTGTGTGCACTCAGACAGTGGATTGGATTATTTATTTATACCCACATACCATTCACTAGAACTACAGAAACCTTAACCATGAACATTAGTCATGTCAGATGGTAAACAAGCAACTCTACCAATGAAGTTGATGAACTAAAGTAGATAAAAAATTATGCATAAAGGGGCACAGGCAGGTTTGGTTCTGTAGCTTTTTCGGTTAGCCTGATAAAAATGTATCCATTTTTCCTACTTCCTCTATGGTTGAAACTGGACACCGCTTGGATCTTTTTCCTATCCTGTGTGGATAAGTGCTGCGTTGGCATTGTTTGTCCACTGTGCTCATCCTCTGCACAGGCCTGGTGCTGTTTGACAGCGCCCGTCTGCTAGATTGCGAGGAACAAAATCAGTCTGTACAAGCAAAGTGCGATCTGTTTCCTTCTACTAGATAAACAAGACCTTTTTTTCCTCAGTGTTTGCATGCCCTGCAGTAAACTAATGGGTTTCATTTTAGAATCATTAAAAACACAAGTTATGAGCTTTACCTTGTTTTTATGGATTTCAATAAGTTACTAAAAAGGATAAATAAACTGTTACTCGGTGATTCAAGATTAAAGAGGAATAAGAAAACATGGATTTCTTTTACTGTTAATAGTGGAAATATCCTCTGGTTTTAGAGTGGCTGGCCAACAAAGCTTGGTCTTGCTGCTGTGAATGGGATCTTGGCCGAAGCTGAGGTGATGTCATACAGGAGAGATTATTTAAGCATCCCTGTAAGTAAACTGTGACCAATCAAGGAGATGTATCATGTAGGTGTAACATTACCTGATCGAATCCCAGAGGCGTGAGAACTACTGTAAGACTCTCATGTTATAAAAGCTGATGGACTCATTCATAATCTATCAGCAGACCGTACAATACCTCTCTTCTTTTTTTATTTCTGTTCAGTATAGTGAGCTATTTAGACCAACCAGGTGTCAGCAGCGCTGCTTTTCTCTGTGTCTAAGGTGCATTGTAGGGAGACGGCTCACGTCACGCACTGCAAAACGATCTGGCCTCTCAGTAATAATTGAG